CAGTGGATCAAACACTGAGAGTTTGAAAAGTAAAAACTTATATATGCTTGAAGGTGTGAGTTTTGGTGAAGAAATCAACAAGAAATTGGAGCTTAGAAGAAACATATGAAGAGAGATCATCTTAGTCTTTGAATAATGATGATGTATAAAATGATAATCAATCTTAATGTGTTTTGTGCGCTCATAAAATACTAGATTGGTGGCAAATTTTATTGCACTTTGATTGTCGCAATAGAGAGGAATAGGAAACGGACAATCATTGCCTATGTCAAGTTAAAGCTATTGCAACCAAATGATCTTCGAAGTAGTGTTAGACATAGCCTGATACTCGGCTTCAGCACTAGATTTGGAAACTATGTTCTACTTCTTAGCTTGCCATTATATATGGGTATCATCAAGGAATACACAAAAATCAATAATAGATTGATGATTAGTAACATCATTGGCCTGGTCAGAATCAGAAAAGGCACAAAGTTGTAGCTTCGATGTTGAGGAGAACAAAAGAGCTTTGGTTAAAGTGCCGCAAAGATAGAGTAGAATATGAAGTACAATAGCATAGTGAACTGAGGTGCGAGACTGAATAAATTGACTCACCACACGGATGACATAAGTAATGTTTGGTCAAGAGATAGTGAGATATATACAAAAGCATCAACAAGTTCACGATATCGAGTTGGATTTTTCAAAGGATCTCCTATATCAAGTGCTAGTTTTTTTGTGAAGCTAAAGAGGAGTGTCAGCAATCTGATCATTAATCAACTCAGCTTAGGCCAAGAGATCAAAGATGTATTTCTGTTGAGAAAGAAAATATCCTCAAATTTCTGATGAATAGAAGCCTTTACTATATCAATAAGTGAAGGGTCACTACCAGTAATGACTGTATCATCAACATGAAGAAGAAGGATTGTGAGCCCTTGTGTAGAAGTACAAACAAACATCGTGTGATTAGCTTCACTTTGGATAAAACCTATACTAAGTACTGCAGGGTTGAATTTCTCAAACCAAGCTTATGGAGCTTGTTTTAGGCCATATAGTGCATGACGAAGATGACAACTTGTCCTGGCGAGTGAGGAAGATCTGGGGGAGGTTGCATAAATTTCTTCATGAAGATCACCATGAAGAAATACGTTCTTCACATCAAGCTATTAGAGAGGCCATTGTTGAGTATCTACAACAGTAATAAGAGCTTGAACTAAGGTCATCTTCGTTACGGGAGGAAAAGTCTCTTCATAATCAATCTCATATTCCTAGGTAAAATCTCGTTCAAGATGAGCTTTGTACCAATATATTGTGTCATCTGTGTAGTTTTTTGATTTTATAAACCCACTTGCAACTAATTGGGACTTTCCTTGAGGTAATGAGACAAGATCCCATGTACCGGTTTGCTAAAGTTGACTAACTCCTCTACCATAGCTACCTGCCACTTAGGAGAAGATGCAGCATGATGATAAGATTTAGGCTCATGGTGTGAATGAATGGTTGTAAAGAGGGCCTAAAAATTGAAGAAAATGATGAAAAATGACAACCAAAAAATTACTTTTCCTTACTAATACGAAGAGGGTTGCGACGATTAGTTAGTGAAGAACCATCATTCAAAGCCAAGACAGTAGGCAGAAAAAGAGCAAGTAGACTTTTATGATCATCACTAGATGAGGGTGGAATGAAGGTGACTATAATGATGATGAATCTATCAGAATAGAAGATGTGGTGAGCTCAAGAAATGAAGGTAAACTGAAGCAAGTTATGTGTCACTAGCATCAAACAGCTGTCTAGAGTAATATGGAATATGCTCTAGAAAAGTCACATCTTGGGAAATGCGAAGTCTCTTTTTAATTGGATCATAACATCAATATCCTTTGTAGTCAAGATTATATCCAAGAAAAACATAAATAACAGAATGAGGAGACAACTTATCTCACTCGAGAGATGGTAAGAGAACCAGACAAGTACAACCAAATACCCGAAGATGCGAATAAGACGGATGACAAGATGTTAAATTTGGGAATGGTGAGATACCTGTAAGAACTAAAGAGGGCATCAAGTTAATAAGATACACAGCTGTCGCAACAACATCAGCCGAAAATTGTTTAGGCATGATGCTTGAAATAAGTAGTGATCTCACAGTTTCCATAATATGATGATGTTTTCATTTAGAAACGCTGTTCTGCTGATGTGCATAAGGACATGACAATTGTGAGAGAGCACAATGATCAGCTAGAATAGGACGAAGCTCGTGAGAAAGATATTTATCACCAGAATCAAATCGAAAGATCTCATTAGTGGTTCCAAATTGGGTTTTGATCATAGTAGTGAAATTTCTTTCAATTTAGAGTAAAGATGAGCGATGATGCATAAAATAAAGCCAAGTGTAATAAGAAAAATCATCAATAAAGATAACATAATATAAGTTTACTTTTTGATTGGATCTTCCTTTTTAAGATTTTCTAATGATATACTCCATAATATTTGTGTTGCAAAAAATATTGCATGCCTCAATGTACAACGAAATTTTTTTCTCCTATTCTTTATAGGCTAATTACCATATTGGCATTTTTGTAAACCCCTCTTATTAATGTGGTATATTTCTAGCTCTCAAGATGTATTCGTATTTTTTCTGAGCCAAATATGCAATTAGATCACTTTGTCACTAGCAGAAAAAGCTGTGAAACCTCTTTCATCCTATTAGTTTTGCCTTTCCAAGGTTTCTCTTCATTATATTTGAAGGTAATATCATGCTCTTTCATTTTTTATCGTAAAATTTAATTTTTGCAGTGGACTTAACGTTCTTGCATAAACTTAGGTATAATTATTATTCTTATAGTGATGCCTCAAATAATGTTCTAGTACTTTCATCATGAATAAAATAGTAATTATAACATCACATGAGATTTTATGCCTTTATTTCAACGAGGGAGAAGTTTTGGCTTTAGTTGCAAATTTGGCTTAGAAAAAATAAAAACATCGCTCAAGCTGAAAAAGCTACTAATACTAAACTAGAAAGTGTAAAAATTACTAATCTGGTAAGTTAGACTATTCTTTGTACCAGGTAAATCCAATATGATAACCATATCTGCACATATTTTCCTCCCTCGAGTAGTTTTCTAACACAGAGGGAGGAATACGGGCATAATACTGTAGCAGGACAGAAGAACAGGGTATTAGGCGTACAAGCATCAGTAGGAAAAGGAATGGAACAGCGCTCGTGCAATTTTCCGAGGCAACCCGCTCCCCACACGTGTGGACAAACCCTCAACCATGATTGCGTGTGTAAACCCCGAGACGCATATATGGGTCGATTTGCTCGAGTTGGCGGTGTCCATCGCGACAGGCGTAGTACTCCTAGTCTTCTCCTAGGAATTAGAATGTAGGTCTCCATTAATTTTTAGGGTAAATTACATATAGCCCCCTTAACTTTTACCACCATGTATATAGCCCCTCTTAGTTATTTTAATTTCACAAAATCGCTCTCACTTTGAGGGGTTTGACCGTTAACCCCTACGTGTTGCGTGCCAAACACCCCACTAAAAGAAGCAAAAGCATCTCTCAATAAGTTAATAGAAATAATAAAAAAGAATAAAAGAGTGACTTATTTGATATTGAGGGATGTATTTTCATGTTTTTTATCATGTGCTTGACACGTGACAAATTAGACATCACTAATTAAATATAAAAAGAAGCTTTATATATATATAGTATATATATATATATATATATATATATATATATAGTATATATATATATATATATATATAATATATATATAATATATGAGATTAATGGGTATCCTTGTCAATAGAGGGGATTTCCTCCTATGACGTCTCTAAAATCACATGATTTGAGCGACATTGTGGATGATCCGCTCGCGTTGAACTTGATGCTATATATTCTAAAAACCCTAACAACGCCAAGTTTGGGGTGAACCGTCGTCGTTTGACCGCTGTCATCCACTCGTATCAATTTAACGGTTTTGAATGAATAGAACTTTTCACATGGCTCGTATAGAGGGTCAAACGACGACAGATTCACCCCAAACTTGGCGTGTTGGGGTTTTTTAGAATATGTAGATCAAGTTCAACGGGAGCGGATCATCCATAATGTCGCTCATCATGTGATTTTAGAGGCGTCAAGGAGAAAATCTCATCCTATGACAAGGAATACCCATTAATCTATATATATATATATATATATATATTATATATATATATTATTTATATATATATATATATATATATATATATAATATATATATGGAGAGAGAGAGAGAGAGAAAACAGGAAGTGAGCTGGCAGCGTAGGAATTTCCTACCTGCAAGTGTATGACATGTGAGCCCCCCTACTAGTCACATCGGTGTGGGGCTCACATGTCATACACTTGCAGCGTAGGAAATTTCCTACGCTGCCAGCTCACCCGTTTTCTTTTATATATATATATATATATATATATATATATATATATATAATATATATATAATATAATATATATATATATATATACATCACAGCGCGGGCATTTCGCGCGCGAGCAACTAGCTGGAGCTTAATGTAGAAAGTCTTAATAAAGATAGAAAATATGGAAATGATATACTACGTAATACATGATTATATACTACCTAGCATAGAAATGATATCAGTAGAATATATACTACTATATTTAACACCCTCAATTAAAGTTACTGTAGGTCCAGACCCGAGAGATTGGATAAGATGAGCCAAGTTGCATAGATGGTTGTTGATGTGATTTGATGAGAAGTGATTGAATTGAGCAAATCGGTGGGAATAGTTTAAGATAACTAATAGGATTTGAGATGGCAAATAGCAATTTCAGTAATTTTAATTAGGGGCTAATTTTAAAAACGTTACATGTTTAATTCACTCATATCATGAAAAACCCATCATATATTATTATTTCCCGAAAAAAACACATCTCGATCCCTATCACTCTCAATAACCCCTTTTCATTAATAATTGTCTTCACCTTTGAAAAGTACAGACCAGCTTTGTTCATCATGTGTAGTCTCGAGAACTTCAGTTCCAAAAGAAAGACAGAAATTACCTTGAGATAGGAAAAAGAGATGGAGGTCGAGGGAGAGATTAAGATAATGAAGAACAATTTGGTGGTTGAGATACCAAAGTTCAAAAGGGTGTGTGTCTTTTGTGGGAGCAGCCCCGGGAAAAGGGTTTGCTACCGGGATGCTGCTGTGGAGCTCGGCAAAGAACTAGTAAACAACCCCACCCCGCCCCTCTTTTTTTTTTTATATTTTATGTACAATTATTATTGTTAATTCTTTTTGGGTTATTGTGATGAAGGTGAATAGAAAGATGGACTTAGTTTATGGAGGTGGGAGCATTGGGCTCATGGGTTTGATCTCTGAAGCTGTTCATAATGGTGGTGGCCATGTTATTGGGTAAATATCAATTAATCTTTTGATGCAAATTATTTTAAAACTTTTTTGTTCTGTTTTATTCGTAGCTTATTTTGTTCTAATTTCAGTGTCTTCGTTTATTTTGTTTTATTTTGTTTAAGGATCATACCAAGGACTCTAATGGCAAAAGAGGTGCTAATTATTCCTTATGATCTATTTTGTTCTTCCTTAGTCAAAAGATAATTTCCTTTCATATATACTCTTTCTTTATTCTGTTCTCACTTTCTTTCTTTAATTCTTCTTCTTCTTTTTTTGTTCGGTGGTTAAGATTACCGGGGAGACTGTTGGTGAGGTAAGAGCAGTGTCCAGCATGCATCAAAGGAAGGCTGAAATGGCTCGCCACTCTGATGCCTTCATTGCTTTACCTGGTCTCTCTCTCTCTCTCTCTCTCTCTCTCTCTCTCGTCCTTTTTTTTCAAATATTTTAAATGTAATTTTATTTTCATTTAAAAATTAATTTCATAGGTGGGTATGGGACCTTGGAAGAGCTACTAGAAGTAATAACATGGGCTCAGCTAGGAATTCACAGCAAGCCAGTGAGATACTGATTCATACTCATTAAACAAAATCAACCATTTTGATCTCTATTTATTTTTAAAATAAATTTTGTTGGAAAAAAATAATTGTCAGGTTGGGCTGCTGAATGTTGATGGATACTACAACTCGCTTCTGGCGTTCATCGACAAGGCTGTAGATGATGGTTTCATTAAGCCTTTTCAGCGACACATTATTGTGTCAGCTCCTAACGCCAAGGATCTTGTTCAAAAACTGGAGGTAACTAAATCGATATTAACATCTTTAGTTACGGCAAGAAAAATAAAACTTCGGAATTTTGATGCAGTACAAGTGTATTTAAGGTTGTATTAATTGATCTGTATTCAAGACTGTATCAATTTCGAAATACATCCAACATGCGTTATTAAAGTAGATTTATATAGAATTTATATTTGAAAAAGTTCTTGTTTCGATTTGTGACTCTCGCATCATTAGGGTTTTGATAGTGTATTTTTCTTTTAATTTTCCAAAGAAGATATTTTCTGCCTCATTTGAGGTGCAGATAGTAATTTATGTTATCAACATGAATTAATTAGATACTTAGAAGAACGCGCTAAGGATTTTTCACTTAAAATAATTTCAAGATTTTTTTCTAGTTAAAATTTTGTCTCTTTGTATGATAATTTTTGAATGAATGCTGCTGCAGGAGTACGTGCCTGTGCAAGATGCAGGAGTGGCCAAGCTGATGTGGGAGAAGGAGCACGTTGGTTTTAATTCCGCGCTGCATACCGAAATTGCTAGGTAGTAAAAAAAGTAAAAAAGAAAAAGGAAAACGACTGGGGAAAAAAAATGCAGCAGCTTAAGCCAATTGTATGACAGTTTGCTGCTGCGCTCATTTTGGCTTCTCTCTGTACTAATGTGGGCTTTGTATGCAAGCCTTGTCATCTTTTGTTGCTAAGTTTTATGTATGCAGATATGTACGTCTCTTATATAGTTATAAATGTAATTATTAAGGTAGCAGCTTTTGGGCATGCGTTCAGTTTGTGTGATTGCCTTCTTCTCTGATGCTTATATGTGCTCTCTGAGCCATTTCCTTTCCTTTATCTATCTAAAACTTCTTTTTGTTTATTGTTTTTGGAGCTTTGGGTTGATCATTTCTATACAAGTATGGAGAGAGGAAGTGAATGGAGAACTCATGATGGCTTCCAAGGGGAGAGAAATGGGTTTCCTCTCTTGTGGGGAAGCTCTTCGCAATTTTGGCATACAAACTGTGGGTCCCAAATCAATTCCTTGGCTTTGGCTTGTAAACTTGTATTTCTTATGTCTTTTGACTTAACATATAATATTCAGCTCCTTTGACCTAAGTGAATGGTTGGATTTTCTTTCTTCAGTTTGGATGAATATCAGATCATTTTCTAAAATACAACCATTATCTATTAATATTTTGATGGACACAAATTATTTCTAGCTGTGATAATTATCTTTTGTTTTTAAATGTATTCAATTTGTTTTCTACTCTTGACAAATTCATATATAAGCTTCCATTTGTCGAGTTATTTGAAATGAACCGTTAGAATATATAAAATGTAATCCTTAATCCTCTCCCTAACTTCAGAGTTTTGATGTAATAGTTAGAGGGGTTTTAGGGTAAACTAATGGTGGAATTCATGTGTAAGTCGATCCTACTCTCGTAAATATTAGAAAGAATAATTGATTTAAACTGAAAAAAAATTGAGACAATGCCTAACAAGTTAAGTCTTGGGATAATTTGCGGTTTAGCTGCTGTTTAACACTCGTTTAACTTGCTATGAGACCTAAGTTCTACATAACAAGTAGTATTGGACACCTTGGTTCCAAGACGGTTGGTGTGAGTATGGTTCCTAATTAATTAACGTTACCAGCATTAATGGCCCCACCGATGTTTTTCGAATTGGGGTGGATTTGAGATACTTCAGTTTTTCCTTGAAAGTGTTGAGCTCACTTGATCACTTGGGGGCTTGAAATCAGGCTCTCCCTCTGTGATCCCCGACCAAGTTTCTCCTCCTTCGCAAAGACAAAATACTATTGAAGGCCAATTGTGATCCTAAGGGAGTGAAGTGTAATGATCCCAGGTCGGGAGACTAAGGATTTTTCAGCTCGGAGATGGTGGGGGAGACTTAAGGATTTTTCAGCTCGGAGATGGTGGGAGAAAATCCTATGAATTTAGTAGCTATAGTCTGGCCTATGGTCGTCCACTGTGACCTCGTTAGGGCGGCTACGATATAGTAAGTCCTGTGATGGTACGGTTGAAGCCCACACGGATGAAAGAACTTATGGTTGTATTTAGCCATATTTTTATGTTCGTTATTGATCAAAGACAAAGCTGGATCAATCGAGGAATGATAAAGAA